CCCCCGAGAAAGCAACAATTGGCTGCCCTCTGCCTGGTCCCTGTTCCCGGCGTACAAGTCAGCACAAACACCCCAGGGGAAAGTCATAGCCAAACGGGCCTCCTTCAGTCTCGTTCTTTGTCCCTCCCCCCAGAAGTCCTGGCTGCTGCCGGTGGGCTTAACCCCACCCCCATTGTTGACAGGCGTGTCCACCTGGGACGAGATCTCCGTCAGATCTCCGCCAGAGTCCGTTGGAGCGGGCGGCAGGCAGCACAGGCCGTGACTTGGCGCTTGTCCCGTCACCGTGCATGGGAGAGCCCTTCGCTTCTGCTCCGGAGAGCCCTCTATTCTTGGCATGCCTTCGTGGCCTTCTCTGGATGGGCCGTCCTCACTAGTTGAATTCCATGGCTGCAAACCGTCAGGATCCTGTGTCGGGTTGTCCTGGGTCTGGAGCATGGAGCTGTCAAACGAGCCCTAGCAACCTGTCCTCCCCTCGGCCTGTCCGAGGGGCTCCCTGGCTTAGGCAAGTGGCTCTAGAGAAGTGGTTCTCAACCTTCCTCGTGCCGTGACCAACCCTTCCACACAGTTCCTCGTGTGGTGGTGACCCCCCAACCATAACATGATTTTCATTGCTACTTCCTGTCATTTTGCTTCTGTAATGAATTGGGCGACTGCTGTGAAAGGGTCGTTCGCCCCCCCCAAGGGGTGGAGAACCTCAGATTGAGAACTGCTGCTGTAGAGCCTTGTTCCTGAGAAAAGGTAGCACTTCCCCTCCCTCCAAGTCAGGTCACACCTGTGGTCCCCTTCCAGGACACGTTTGACATCCGGATCCTGATGGCCAAGTCCGTCAAGTACACGGTGAACTTCTTAGAAGCCAAAGAAGGAGATTTGCACAGGTATCGGCACTGCCCTATCCCCCCAGGCCTAGCTCCAGGGCCCTGGCCACCCACTCCTCCTCCCCCAGCAGCCTGTTTGGCTTCCCCCAAAACTACTGGAGCCCTTTGCCTTCCAGGATAGAGATCCCATTCAAATTCCACATGCTGCATTCGGGGCTGGTTCACGGTCTGGCTTTCTGGTTTGACGTTGCTTTCATCGGCTCCATGTGAGTGTCACCCAGCAGACCTGGGGCATGCCCCCTGCCCTTTCCAAAGGGCAGCAAGAACTGTTGGGGGGCAGAGGGCCTTGCCAGGGTGTGCCCCTCTGCATGTGTGGCAGGGTGAGTAGGCATCCCGTGGTGACCACCCCTCCAGTGGGGGGGTGTGCACACAAGGGCTGGCACCAGGGCAAGTTGCAGGGCCAGGGGCATGGCAACTCCAGCCCGGTTAAGCACTTGCCTGTCCCTGCTTGGCAGAATGACTGTGTGGCTGTCCACAGCCCCGACGGAGCCCCTGACGCACTGGTACCAGGTACGGTGCCTGTTCCAGTCGCCGCTCTTCGCCAAGGCTGGGGACACGCTCTCAGGGACTTGTCTGCTTATTGCCAACAAAAGGTGAGCCCCTGGCGGTGGGGTGGGGTCGGGGTGGGGGTGGGGTGGCAGGAGGGCTGAGCCTCCCTCCCCCTCTCTGCAGACAGAGCTACGACATCAGTATTGTGGCCCAGGTAGACCAGACGGGCTCCAAATCCAGTAACCTTCTGGATCTGAAGAACCCCTTCTTCAGGTAGGACGGGCCCTCAGCCTGCGTGGGGGGCCCCTCCTGGCCCAGCAGCCCCCTCGGCCCTGCCCATGGGTCCGTCTCTGGCACAGATACACAGGGACGACACCCTCGCCCCCACCTGGCTCCCACTACACGTCTCCCTCAGAGAACATGTGGAACACGGGCAGTACCTACAACCTCAGCAGTGGGATGGCTGTGGCTGGTGAGTCGCCCCCCTACCCTGCAGCACAGGGCCCACACCTGGGGGACACGTCGACTGCTCACGTCAGCCCCCGCAGGCCCAGCCCCCGCCTGCCCCTATTCTGCCCCTCAAGACCCATCCCTGCCCTGGCCCCTCGCCTGACGCATCCTCTCTGGGCACAGGGATGCCGACTGCCTATGACCTGAGCAGTGTTATTGCTGGCGGCTCCAGCGTGGGCCACAACAACCTGATCCCTTTAGGTGAGTGCTGGGGTGGGGCCTGGTGGGCCAGGAGGGGCTCCAACAAGGCCAGGCCTCGGCTCGGCCCTTTCCCCAGCATCGTCGTCTTCGTGGTCGTCATTGTCCTTGGAGCCCTCTCTTCCTCCTCCGGAGGGCTCCACTCCTCTCTGCCTTGCTCTGCTGCCGCCGCTGTGCCCATCTCCAAGTCCCCCTCCCCACCCCTGGTGTGAGTGTGCGCGCGCCCTGGGCGGGCTGGCTGGGGGCGGTGACGCCGTCTCCCTTCCCTCCTTCCTCCTCTTGCTGCGCAGCCAACACGGGGATTGTCAATCACACCCACTCCCGGATGGGCTCCATAATGAGCACGGGGATTGTCCAAGGTAACCTGGGGCGGGCGGGGCGGGCTGCGGTGTGTGAGTGCGCTGTCCTCCTCTGACTCGGCTAGGGGCCCGGCCAGCGGGTGGAGCTGGCCCTTCAGTGCCCATGCCCCACCACCCCACAGGCTCCTCCGGCGCCCAGGGCAGCAGTGCCGGCGGCTCAAGCGCCCACTACGCGGTCAACAGCCAGTTCACCATGGGCGGCCCCGCAATCTCCATGGCCTCACCCATGTCCATCCCCACCAACACCATGCACTATGGGAGCTAGGCCCCTGCAGGCGCCACCCAACATCTGACAGCACCAGGAAACCAAATGAAGACCCGCCACCACCTGCACGAGGGGCGGTTCGGACCCCTGCCCGGAGAAGCCCGGACCAGTCACAGCCCTGTTTGCTATGGGAACTTGGACACTTTTTTACACGTGGTCGCCGTTGCCTCCTCCTCCGCCCTCAGCCCCACACATCATCCCGAACGTGTGCCGCTGCCCTATCTTATATGAGATCATGTTGTGGGCGTCCCCATCCCTGCCGCCCACTGCCAGCTCCATCCTGGCCTGGATTTGACATCATTGACAGTAGGCGGCTGGTCTGGGCCTGACAGTTTCGGACTGTGGCCCCTCAGCGCTGCCCCCTTCACTGTCTCCGGTGGGGACGCAGCCCTGGCCAGGCAGGAACTCCCTTTAACTACCAGGCCTTGGGTCACCATAGGTGTGACATGCTGCTTTTTTTATTTTATTTTTTTACGAAAAGAACCAGTGTCAATCCACAGACCCTCTGAGGAACCAGGCCGGCCGGGCCGAGCCAGCAGCCCCTCCCCAGACTTAAGAGGCCCTCGGTGAGGGGTGGCCTGACCGGGTCTGTGGGGGCGGGCCAGACCTCCCAGTCACCCACAGGCCCCCAACCAAAGGGTTCACCTCACACATGAATGTACACCCAGCCTGGCTGTCGGGAAAAGCACTCCGTCCGTGGCCCCTGCCTCTTGCTGCTGTCCCTACCCCCACCCCCCACCCAATAAGAGCAAGGCTGGGTGGCCAGGAACCCGGCCTGGAGGCTGAGGGGCAGATACACACACACACACACACCTCACAGATCTGTGGTGGGAGCTCCCTTTTCCTGTAGCTGCCGTCAGGCCCGTGTAGCCCCCTCAGTACATGTAGACACTCCAGTTCCTACCTGTATTATGGCACCTGGTCCCTCGCTAGATGGGAAGGGGCCTTGCAGGGACACACCCCCCCCAAAAAAAAAAAAATAAACAAGGAAACATGTATTTCAGCCAGGGCAGTTTCCTTCTCCCCCTTTTCTAACACCCTGAGCTCAGATGGGGCTCAGGTAGGCCTGAAACCCGTCCATTGTGCCCCTAGGGGAGGGGGCTCCCTGCCGGGACAGACCCAGCAGGCAGGCTGGGGGTGGATGGACCCTGGCGGGCCTCCTGAGCGTAAAAGGAAGCTTCTTGTCAGCTGCCCCCTTTATATGAGTTCTCGGAGTCCCGTTTGCATAGGAAATAAAAGTGCGCTTTTTAAGAAAAGTCTGGAGAGAGCTCGGTGACTTGAAATCCTGTGGGAGCCTCCAGCCATCGTCGGGTGGGGCCGAGGTGGCCCCTCTGATGCCTGAAAAAGAGCGGTCCTGGGGCTCCAGTCTGGGAGCTGCTTGGCTGGGCCGCCCCTCCCCTCAGCCGGACACTGCTCCATACCTGCAAGGCTGCAGCCTTCCTAGGAGGATGTGGGGGGCCAGGGCTGGCTGGGGGGTAGTGCGGTCGGGGGCAGATTCGTGGCTTGGAGCGGAGGTGCCCCATGTTCCAGAGGCAGTGGCTGGAAGAAGTACAGCTGGACAAAGGCCCGGGATCAGCACTGGTGCCAGATGGCAGCCGACCCCCGCCCCGCCCCGCCCCGTGTTCAGCCTGAGGGCCTAGGTCTGTACCTTGCAGCCCAGGGCCAGCAGGCCATGCAGCAGCACAACGGTGGACAGCAGTGCCGCTGCCACCAGCCTGGTGTCTTCACGGACCACCGGCCACAAGGTGAACACCAGGCATGAGGCTGACAGGGCCAGGGCCAGTGCTCCAAAGAGCCACTGCAGCCAGGGAACAGGGATGAGCCACAGGACCTGGGGGTGACATGGCGTGTGGACTCTCACCAGGTCCACTGTCCACGTGACCTGCACCCACCCAGCCAGCTGTGCTCACCACAGTGGGGATGAAGACAGAGAGAGAGTAGCCATAGATGCACACAGTCTCCAGGAAGGTGTAGGGCCCCACGCGCTCCCGGATGCCCCTGCGCCACTGCAGGAAGCCCCACAGTGCCAGTGGCACCAGTCCTGTGTAGCAGTAGATGGTGATACTGGCCACAGTCACTGGGGAGAAGGCCTGCAGTTAGTCTCCCCCAGCCCTGCCTGCAGCCCCATCTTGAACTCTGCCCCCACCCTCACCCCACCCCCGGCCCCGCCGTCCCACAGCATTGTACCGCCTGGCTTACCCTTGTGGAACTGGGGGCTGTAGTGGATAGAGGGGTCCCTCCACTGGGCCAGGACCAGTGTCAGGTTTCCGGTGATGGCCAGGACGAAGGCCAGTGTGGCACAGATCCAGAAGGGACCTGGAGGGGAAGGGGCTGTCAGCCTCGGCCCAGAGCTGGGATGGGACCACTCATCCTGTCTCCAGTGTGTTGGTGGCCAAGGCTGCCCCCACCCTCACGACTCCACTGGCCTGACTTCTGCTCATCCATGATCAGTGACTCCCCCCCCCTCCCCCCCTTAGGCTCTCTATCCCTTCTCAAAACACCATGCGGCTTCCAGACCCCTCATCTGGGGGCCACTTCTCTGCTCGACTGCCTCCCTTATCGATGGAGTGGGCGTTCCTTGCCCCGCCCTCCCAAAATGATCTCACCGCACTCTTGGCACCTCAGCCTCTGCCCTCCATTGCAAACTCTCATCAGTGCTTCCACCTGGGGGTCTCCCAGGTGTCTCCCGCTCCACACTAGCAGTCCTCGCTCCTCGGCCAAGCTCAGACATTCTGTCAGCAAACCCCGTTCTGGAAGCGCCACCTTGCAGGCACGTTTTCCAGAATTCAACCACTCCTGGCTTCTACCATGTGTTCATCTGTCCCTCGCTGTACCTAGAACCATAGCTGCCAACCCCCACCCTGTGCTCCCCACAGGCTGCGTGGGGGGGGGAGTGCTCCCTGCGAACATTAACTCCTCCCCTTTTCCTTCTCACCACAGCGCAGAGCCACCACCTCTGTGACCTGCCAGTTCACTCGGCCCCAGCGCCACTGCTGCCGCTCTGCAGGGGCTGTTCCTACGCACCCTGCTGCTGCTCCAAACCCTCCCTCAGCCAGGAGTGCCCCCCACCTGCTCCCCACCTGCTGCTGCTCCGTCCCCAGATGCCCTCCCTGGCTTTCCCCGCCAAAAGGCCTGGTTCTTCTGCCTCCAGGCTACTCCGCTGCTTCTCTTCCCAGCAACGTCTCTGCCTTCCTCTCTCCCTGAACCGAATGTAAGCTCTGGGCTCTCCACCAGTGTCTCTGCCGTCTCCTCAGCTGTGCTCCTGAGCCGATCACACGGCCGCACTCACCATACAGGTCCGGCCGGCTGTGCAGCCGGTGCCGCACAAAGCTGGTGCCCGGCCAGGGCAGCAGCGAGCCTTTGATCCGGTCCAGGACCTGGGGAGGGCAAGGCCGGGTCTGGGATGGAAGCTCACTGGGGCGACAGGCTTCAGCTCCACTCCCTGGCCCCAGGCACTGCCATCAGCCCTTTCTAACTCACAGCGACCATAGGAGACAGGGCAGACCGGCCTGCCGCTGCGTGGGTTTCCGAGGTGGTAAATCTTTATGGGAGTAGACAGCCTCATTGTTCTCCCACCAGGAGGGTCTCAAAGCTTCAACTCCCTGAGATCGAGTTGATGCCAACTCATGGTTCCCTTCTAAGACAGGGTAGAACTGCCCCTAGGGGTTTCCAGGACTTGAAGTCTTGACAGAGCTCGGAAAGCCTCATCATTCTCCTGGTGGCTCTAAACCACCAACCTTGGGAGCAACCCAGTGCACAACCCGTTAGGCCACCAGGGCTCCTCCCTGTCTACTCTCCCTTCCAGCCTCGGGGGTCCTGGGGCCTGCCTGGCTAGCTCCTGCTCGCGGCTGCTTCTCCTCGGGCCACCTCTTCCAAGAGCTGCCTCCCCACACACCCCACAATCAGACTGCCCCTGAGTGCTGCTCATCCTGCCTTCCAAAACTCTCCCCAATAGAAGAGATGCCCTCAGTCGTCATCTCACCCCAGCCCCGGGGCCTTGATCCATGTTCCACCAGCCTGTCCATCGCCCACCTCTCCACCCCCCTCCAACCCCACCCCACCCCCACCCCCCAGACTCCCTCAGGGCCCACGGGATCCTTTGAGACCTAGTGGGCTTCTGCTGGCCCGCCCATCCTTCCAATTTCTCACCTAGATCCAGTGAGGGCAGGTTCTCTCACCTCCACTCACGGCCCCCAAGTCTATTCAGGGTCCTAGCCTGCATAGGACCTATTCCTGCAGGGCGGAATAGCTGCGCCCTAGTGTTCCCAAGACTGTCTGTCTCTACAGGAGCTGAGAGCCTCACCTTTCTCTGACTGAGCAGCTGGTGCTGACCATGTGCTTTACAACCCCACTTCCACTGCATCACTCACCTGGCCCTGGTGGCACTGTCAGCTAAGGACTGGACTGGTTGCCTTGTGAGATGAGGCTGTCTGCCTGCATAAAGATTTCTAGCCTTGGGAACCCTGGGTTGGGTCACTGGGAGTTGGTGGCACTAGGCTTGGGGCCTGGAACATGCCTATGCTGCCCTCCACCCCATTGACCTCAGCAAATTCCTCACCTCTGCAGGCGGTCTGCCTGGACCCAGTGGATCAAGTGCACCTCTTTTATGCAGCCCTCGAAACCCAAAACCCAATGCCACCAAGCAGACTGACTCACAGAGACCTTACAGGACAGAGCAAAATGCTCCATGGGGCCCTCCCAAGGCACTTGCTTTTACAGATGCAGATTGGTGCCCAGGCCCTCAAGTACCCAACAGACCCCCCACCATCACCTTTCTATGCAGCCGGTTGGTGCCTTCTGCTGGCCTGAGCAGGGCCCCTGAGAAGTGCTCAGTGTCAATGGCTGGACCCTGTCCCAACCACCCCTTTCTGGGGCCTGACCTGCACCGTGTCCACGTCGAAGAAGCTCTGGTAGTAGCTGAAGGTCCAGAATCCTGGCTGCGGCTTCTCCTCTCCCTGCAGGAGCTGCACAGCAAGGCCGTCAGGGTCTGACCCCTCGTCAGGCCAGCCAGGGGCAAGGGGGCAAGGCAGAGGGCATGGGCTGGGCCTTACCGCCGCAGTGTCACTTTCCTCCGCCTCTCCCTCTCCTCCAAAGCCGTCACCCAAGCCCACAGCGACCGCCACGGACCCCTGTGGGGTCAGCTGGTCACTCCTGCTTGTGGTGGCTGCATCTGGAGCCTCTGCCAGGAGATCCGTGGCTTCCTGGAACTCTGCAGAGAGAGAGAGAGGAGAGGAGTCACTGCCGTGGCATCAACTTACTGTGCTACCCAGCCAGGCTTCCTCCGTTTGAGAACTCAAGCTCAATGCCATTGAGTGGAGGCCGACTGCAAGAGATTCTCCAGGACAGTACAGAACTGCCCCTTCCGGCTTCTGAGACTGTTAGCTGTTGACAGGAGTAGAAAGCCTGTATGTCTCCCGCGGAGTGGGTGGTGGTTTCCAACCCTGTGGTTAGTAACCACGACACCACCGAGTGGGCTGCGATGTAGAGTCGGGGGCGGGGGGGCTGTGCTTTAGTGTGGTCTAAGTGGGGGTGGGTGGGGCTCTGATCTCCGATGGGTCCTGGCTGCAGTAGAAGTTCCCGGAGGTTTGAGCGCTGGGCACGAGCGGGCCGAGACTGGCTGTGGTTTCTAGTTCTGGGTTCAGGCCTGGGTCGGGATTGGCAGCTGAATAGGATTGCGGTAAAAGGAGCAGGATGGACCCTGGGCAGGCGGCTCGGGCTACACGCACCGTGAAACGTCAGCTCGTCTGCCGCTGCCATGGCCGTCCAGGGGCGTCACCGCATCCCGCTCTGCGAACAGACAGATCAGGCCCGCAGCCTGCTGCTACTCAGTGCGGCCCGGCGGCTACCGTCACCCTCTGGGGCTTGGAGTCGCCGCCCGGGCCCAACAGGTGTACCCAGCCCCACCACACCTGAGGCTCCCGCAGCCGGCGTGGCCTGGGCTCTCTGCGCCTGCGCAACCCGCCTACCCGCTGGGGCCAGCCAACCGACGGCCAACCCCGCCGGGCTCCGACTGATTTCCGGTGCCGGTCCGTGTGCTATCCTCTTCCGACGGGCTCCACTTCCTGTCGTTGGCGGCCGCCCGGAAGACTTCCGGGCCTTTTACGTCACGTACCCGGCGTTTCTCTTCGGAGAACGGACACCGGGCCGGAAGAGGATGGCGGCCGCCGCTCTGAGGAGGTTTTGGTCCCGAGGCCGCGGCGAAGCGGGCGACGCCGTGGGCGCGAGGCCGGGCGTGTGGGCGCGTCTGGGTGAGTAGCGGCGGCGGGGTGGGTGAGCGCAGCGGCCGAGCCGCCCTAACCGCGCTTCTCTCCCGCCAGGCGTCTGGTCCCGCTCTCTGCTCCGGGACTACGCCGAGGCCTGCGGGGACGCGGCGGCGTCCGCCCGAGCCCAGCCGGCCCGAGCGGCCGTGTACGCGGGACTGCTGGGCGGAGCGGCCGCGTGCTGCGCGCTGGCGCCAAGCGAAGCGTCCTTCGAGGAGGCGCTGCTCGACGCCTCGGGCACCTTGCTGTTGCTGGCGCCGGTCACGCGCAACCGCGCCGCCGAGACCTCCGTGCAGCGACTGCTCTGGCTGCGAGGCCGCGGCCGTCTGCGCCACCTGAGCCTGGGGCTCTGCTCGCTGGTCTACGAGGCGCCCGTGGACGCCCAGGCCAGCCTCTACCAAGCCCGCTGCCGCCACCTGCAGCCCCGCTGGGCCGACTTCCCGGGCCGGATACTGGACGTGGGCTTCGTGGGCCGCTGGTGGGTCCTGGGCGCCCGGATGCGAGACTGCGACATCAATGACGACGAGTTCCTGCACCTGCCGGCGCACCTGCGCGTCGTCGGGCCCCACCACCTGCGCTCCGAGACCAACGAGCGGCTCTTCGATGAAAAGTTCCAGCCCGTGGTGCTCACGGATGACCAGGTGGACCAGGCGCTGTGGGAGGAGCAGGTGTTGCAGAAGGAGAAGAGGGACAGGCTGGTCCTGGGGCAGCCGGAGGCCCTGAGATGAAACGCCTCCCCCCAGTCGGTGTGCGGGGACTTCCAGGCAGGCCCCGACAAACGTGACGTCCTCTCTTGCTGGACAGTGACGTTTTCGAGGAGTCTGTTTCCCCCTCACCCGCGTCCTTGTTCGCGGACGTTTATCCAGAGTGGCCTGGCCCTAGAAGTTGAGGCTTGCAGAGGGATGTGTCCTTGTAACCAACGAAGTTCTCCCCGTTGTGGCCGCCAGAGCTAGGGATCAGGATGCGGGATGTGCTTCGGGCTTCACAACACCACCGCCCCCACCCCCACCCCCCACCAAAGTACCATATTTATCCTCAGGTGACTCCCAAGCTCACCTAAGACCTTTCAGATGTTTGTTTTACTTAATTCAAGCGGAAATGTTTGAATTCTACGATTGACTTTGACGTCTCAGTTTTTATAGCAACCTCCTCCACTTTTCATTTGAGAACATTGGAATTGTGGCAGGCTCCGTGGGAAATTGGGAAAAGAAAGCTGAGACAAGCCGACTCCCTTTCTCCGACTGGTTACACCCCACACAATGCATTTAATGTTGGATTTAATAACAACCCAAAAACGCTGCTGGTACAACCCTCTGGGTTTTACTGAGACTTTTTTTTTACTTTAAAGGAGTTTGGGATATCTTTTTTTCTTTTCTTTGTAAAGGAGGCTTGAAATACTTTATTTATTAGTGTGGCAATCTGGTTCTGTTCTCCTTCAGTAACCCTGACAATAGTCCCGTAGCTGATAAAGAATCAGCAAGTCGGTGATCAGAGCTGGGCCTTACCTAGGTAATGGTGGTCTTGTCAACTTTTAAAACTACACTGTTAGGGGAATGAGACTCTACCTCTATTGCTAAGGTGACTAGCCGGTTAATAAATGAGGAGATAAAATACTGTAATGTTTGTACTTGTTTGTTTTGTCACTTGTAAGTTTTGACATTTGGACCTTTCATTCGTAACATGGGTGCGTTAAAAATAAAAAGGCAAGAAAGACCAAGCCTGCTGTCATCAAGTTGGTTCCCATGCATAGGGACTGAATGGGTGTCTGAGATGATAAATCTCTATGGGAGCAGACAGCCTCATCTTCGAGATGCCTGTGGTTTGCACTCCGGTCTTTACCTGACATTGCCACCAGTGCTCTTATGGATAAGGCAAGCACACATTTTATATTCTTATTTGGGGGGCAAGGAAAGCATCCTTGTAAGTTAGCACCCTCATTTTACAGAGGAAAAAGCTGAGATTCAGGAAGTTTGTTAACTTTCCCCAGGCCATGGCAGAGCCCTGATTCAAACTCCTAACTCCCCAAACTGTGACTTAATCTCAAACATTAGTCAAAAATTATTTCACTGCTATCTTGTGCCAGAAATAAAGACAAGGATATGAAAGTAAATAAGCATATAAAAATGTATAGTGAAAACAAACAGGATAATGATACTAGATTCTAATTTTCTGTTAATGATAGTCAAAGGCTCATTGCCATTAAAAAGAAGCAAGTTCTTCATTGTAATCAGTAGTGTAGAAAGAGAGTTGTACATTTTTATTATTCAAGTCAGTAATTAAAGTGCTGCTTCTGATGTCCATCCAGGTGTGGTCCATGCACGTGCTTGTAACTGCAGGGAGCTGTGAGCCGCACGGCAGTGGTTAGCCACAACTAAAGAACTTTGAGTTCTGTGCCCAGGAATTGCCTGAAATCTGTGTGCCTTATTTCATCAGAGGCTGTGCTTTGCCTCGAGCAGAGTCCACACTGTTTTGGTCCACACACCAGTGCTCTGGCCTTCTGGGTATTTGTGGGGCAGCGGGGGTGGGGGGAGGGGCTTGGCAGGAGACTGGTCAGGTGTTTGCCTTACCTATCACTGGTTCTTGCCCTGGAGCAGTAGCCAATTCACTAACCCTGAGTTAGGGAAGTTTATTAGAAGGGAACCCCAGTCAAGGTGAAGTTCAGCAGCTGTGCAGGCTGTCAATGCAGTCCGCCTTGTCCTCAAAATACCCGAGGATTAGGCTCTTGCTTTGAAATTCACATCAGGTAAAGGTAGGGGTACTTGGAGAGGTACAACTTTCCCAGATATTTTATACTGAAGTTTTAGGATAATCACAGGCTGAAATGATTGTTAGAGTAAGCCAGCCTCTAACAACCGCAGGGTCTTTAGGCACAATTGTAGGGCGATAATTATAAAGATCATAATAAAGTCATAGAGATAGGAGAGAAGGTAAAGGAGCCAGACACTTTATAGCATCTCACCTCAGTCCCTCTTGTTGGTCCACGTGGAGGTGGAAGAAAAGCCAGTACCGGTATATTTTTAACCAGGGCTTACCGTATATACATTTGGGGATGCACAAACCTCCCTGGTTACAAGTAGCCACATATGTAACTAAGGGGTTGTCCTGTAGCCAATACAAGCAATGGCGGGACAATCTAGGGGTGTATACTCAATAGGAAGGGAAGGGACAAGATGGGTAGATCCCAGATTCAAGGTGGCAGCCTAGCCTTGATCCTCCTTGAGTTGGCTTGACCTTGTCTCTGGGCTCTCCAGGGAAGTAATCATCCTTATCAGTAGGTGTGGGCCCCACCTATGTTGGGACAGACTAGTGTCTGATTGCGCTAGATGGCTGATGCCCTCAGGGTGATAACCTCTAAGCAGCTGATCTCACAGGGCCCTAGCGAAGCAGGTCCTGGGCGGAGTATACAACTTGGGAAACAACCTGGGGAAAAACCGTTTTGTATCTCACAATTGACTAAAGCCAACAGCCTTACATTTTAGAACAAAATCAGCAAGTCTCTGTACCAGCCAGAAAGCTAGCAAACGGCTGAGAGAAGCGAGGACTCGGGGTTCTCTGCACATCTAACATGTTTGTCTCTGAGAGATACAGGAAACTGTGAAAACCCCAGAGCCTTAAGATGAGGAAGAAGAAAAACCTGGCCTAAGTTAAGCTAACTGCAGTAAGTAACTAATACAGCGTGAGTTAGACTAACTACAGTTACAGTTAGTTACACTGTATCCTTGGGTTTGGCCACTGTACCTGAGGATATGTCCAGACCTCCTGTTCAGTGCTCAGCTCCTGGCTCCCCACAGGGCTCAGCCCGGTGTGGGCCTCGGTCTGTGTAGAAAGAGTTCTTCCGAGATAATGCTCTGCCTGTTGTGGGTGGGAGTTTTGTGGTCCTGATGGTGGGAGGCAGACCCAAATTGGCCCTCAGTCTCTGGCCCCACCTAGGGAGCCTCAGCCTTGTTCAGTGCCAGAAGACTTGGGGGGGTTACCCCACACACACACATCCATCCCCCACCCCAAGAAGTCAGCCTTAAATCACAGTTTGAATCACAGCCTACATAGTTACTACACAGAAATTGCCTCTGTTCCCTTAGGACAGGCATCCTCAAACTACGGCCCACTGGCCACATGTGGCCCGCCTAGACATTTATCTAGCTTGCTGGGTGTTTTTGCCCCGTTTGTTTTTTTACTTCACAATAAGATATGTGCAGTGTGCATAGGAATTTGTTCAACTATAGCCCGGCCCACCAATGGGTCTGAGGGACAGTGAACTGGCCCCGTTTAAGAAGTTTGAGGACCCCCTGCCTTAGGAGACTGTTTGTTTTCAGAATGCTTACGCAGATGAACACTTGGTGCACAGTAGGTCTGCACAGCCTTGGAGTGCCATGAGTAAAGAGGATCATGACCTGTCCCTGCCCTCCCTGGGCCAGTCTCAGGTGAGAGGCCTTGCTGTGCGCATGGCAAGTGTTGAACGAAAGAGGGAGGGCAGCCAAGAGGTGCTTGTCGTGATCAGGAAACACTCAAGTTGACATGAACGTGCTCAAGACTCCCTTTTTCTTCACGTTTCTTCTGGATTACTCTGCCCTCTTATTTGTCTTCCGTGAAAACTTCCCAGCTGTTGTCATTGGGAGACCACCAGAGGGCACCAGAGTTTCAGAGAAGTTGGCGCCATCCTCCCCGTGGCCCACGTGTACTGGCTCCCCGGGTTTTCTTTTGTTCTCTGAAGCCGCATGGGGGTGGGCTGCAGTGACTGCATCAATCAGTGTGCTGCTCTTTCGAACCAGGTAGAGGATGGTTAAAACGCTGGGCCAGCTGGGAAACGGCCAGCAGTTCTGCTGGAGGGTCTGGTGGCCTTTGGAAAGATGACCTACCGTTGCCACTGAGTGGATTCTGACTCCACCCACGAGGACAGAGTGGGCCCGCTCCATGGGTTTCTGAAACCATGTACCTTGAAAGGGAGGTGACAGTCATCTTTTTTGCCAATCTTATAACTAGTAGCCCCAGAATTAACCCACAGCGGCCCCGGGTCTTCGCTATAAGGTTACAGCCTTGGAAACCCGATGGGGCAATTCCACTCTGTCCTCCATGACCCCTGTGAACAGGGTGTAGATGATACAGAGGGCCCATGGAGAGGGGCCTGGTCTGTGCCAGTTCTGGGCATCTTTCCCTTGTGCTTTAGTGAGAAAAAACAAAAACCATGCCACTGTGTGGATTCCAACTCTGTAACCCTGCAGGACGGGCATTCCACTGTGGGTTTCTAAGACTGACAGTTATTATCTTCTGAACAGTTTTATTGGCATGTGATTAACATATCATACAATTCAATAGTTCAGTCACATCAAGAAGAGTTGGACAGTCCTCACCACAATCGTTTTTAGAACATTTTCTTCATTTTAGTTCTCATCGTTATTCCCCCCAACGCCCCCTGCCATACCCGCAAGGAACCATTCATCCAGTTACTGTGCACGGATTTACCTATCCTGCATTTCATAAGACTGTAACTTTTTCCCCCCAATCATTTTATTAGGGGCTCCTACAACTCTTATCACAATCCATACACACATCAATTGTATAAAGTGCATTTGTACATTCATTGCCCTCAAGACTGTAACTCTACAGGAGTATAAAACCTCGGTTTTCTCAGAGTGGCTGGTGGTTTTGAACTGCTGACCTTGCAGAGAGCAGCCTAATGTATAGTAACTGTTAGGTTACTTGGGTGGGAAATGCCTAGGTCTTTGGCTTCCCACGAGAAGGAATTCACGCCGAAGCCTAGTTTGTGCTCCAAGTGGGTTTTTATAAAGGATAGAAGCCGTTTCAGGCGTTACGGTGAACTGAACACAGGCCAGAACGCAGCACCTGCTGGAAAAGGGGTGGCCTCCTGCGTCCAGCCTTTTGGGGGCCTTGCGCTGGGAGGCGTGGTCAGTGGTGCTGGTGGAGACATTAAATCTGGAAGAGTATGAAGGCAGAAAGTGCATCATGTAGGTACAGGAGATTAGCTACTTGAGGCCATAATGGGGCCCAAAGGGTTCGCAGCCTTGTGGTTAAACGATGAAGCATGGAAAACAAAGGGAACTTTTCAGTTTCAGGCAGGATGCAGAAGCAGGAAAGGGAGTATTACTAGGATACATACACTATTGTAAATGAGAAACGCTTACAAGATTGGTACCAAGCTCTCCAACTACCGCGGTCAGATTGACTCATGCCGCATAACTCTAGGACAGCGGTTCTCAACCTTCCTCATGCCGCAACCCTTTTGTACAGTTCTTCATGTGGTGGTGACCCCAACCATAAAACTATTTTTGTTGCTACTTCACTACTGTCATTCTGCTACTGTTAATGAGTCATAATGTATATCTGATATGCAGGATGTATTTTCATTGTTACAAATTGAACATAATTAAAGCATAGCGAGTAATCACAAAAAC